CTACACCCCCCCCCCCCCATATGCAAATGTGTGCTAAACTATTCAGCAAAGAGAACTTTAACTTGTTTTCATATTTTTACCTGAAATTAATTGTATTCAATCTTCGCTTGATGACTAAATATCTCCATACATACTATATAAAATCATAGAAAGCAAAATAGGATAAACTATGAATGATGAGTGAACAACAAAGCTTTTTTTAGAACTAATTTTGTCTGCATTCTATTTTTTACTTACAAAATAACAGTAAACAATGCACAGTAAACAGAAGAGTCCAAAAATTAAAGCAGGGCCGGGTATCGTGATGCAACAGAGTATTAGAAACCCGGTTAGCTACCAATATTTGTTTACGAAATATAATATTATTTAGTTTCTTTATATTCTCCATTTCTTTCTAACTTCTTAAATTGAAATCTACACAAATGTTTAGACCCCACAAAAGAAAACTCAAGAGTTTCGTTAAACGATACTTTTTAAATTGCCGGCTCAGAGGTCACAGTGCACGGTGCATAGTGCACAGTACATAGTGCAGCACGGTGCAAAGTTCACATTTCACAGTACACAGAGCACAGTGTATATAACATAGTAAATAGAACACAGTACACAGTTCCAGAGGCGTATTCAAAGGGGGATAACTATGGGGGTTAAGACCCCCCATAGGACAAGTGAAATCTTTGAATTTCAGGCGGTTTTCAGGCCCCAACGGGTGCTAAGCCCCCCTCCTCCCCCAAGCAAAATTACAAATTACGCCCCTGCACAGTACTGCACTTGACAGTACACAGAATCAACAATTAGCATGCATTAGTGAAGAGAACGTGAAAAATTGTTTAAAAATCAACCTTTTGGACCTTATCATGATTTCATTGGCCTGTCTATCCTTCTGCCCCATGCTGGGATGGAAGGTAGAGTTTCTTCTAAACATATGTTGATTTATTGATTTCATTTCAGAAAATATATCGTGGCAATCTATGAATTGTGCGCATTGTGTATGAGTTTTTGATTATATGTATTACCTATCTATTACAGTGTTGCCATTTAGATAGTATTGGGGTGGATTTTCAGGAGGCCCTTACAAAAAACATTGTTTTATTTTGCGATGAAATTCATTAATGAATAAAAGTTATGTCTAAGACACTTTAATGTAAAGTGTTCTTCTTAGGTATTGTAACGGAGTTCAAAGTGCATATTTTTAACAAAGAATGTCAGATCATGGTTGGAATCAATTATTTCTGTATATGGGAACTCTGCTGGGTGTTTACATAAACTAAAACTCCTTTTTGTAAAATTCACAAACGAATGTAACAGATTCTTTAAGAATTGATATTTGTGCTTTTATGAATAGTTAAAATGTATTTTCAAGTTTTAACCAATAACCATTTTTCAACCCCCACCATGTATCATTTAGTTAGACCTAAGGTTTAACAGTATCTACTGTATTTAAGTGTTTATAGAGACTGCAGGTTTAAAGAATTCTATTTACAGAACTCATATTTATAACTTTCTCTATCTCTATAAACAACAATTCACTTATAGGTGACAAAGTATAACAATTAACCAACCTTTAATCACAGTTTCAGGCAGACTTTCAGGTCTAGAATTTTCCTGAGAGAAATTGAGTTCTTGAGTAGAATCTAGATCTTGTGGAGAATAGTTGAGAATAAAATATCCATCATCAAACATCTCGGTGTCCTTGAGACAGCAGAAGATGAAATCAATGTTGATGACGAAACCAGTGATAACTCCGGAGACTAATGCAATCCCCACACTGATCCCCAAGACAGCCATTTGAATCAATGCCTAGATAAGAATTATACTTGTATGAAATATTTCGAAGTTATTATCCAGTCACAAGACAATTTTTTTCTTATAAGTGAATGAAAAACGATTGTTTTCTTTCAAAAAAGTGCTGACCAATTCATATCTTTACATTTTGTTGCTTCTACATAAAGCTGACTGAAATATTAAAATATTCTTGCATTCAAGATTGCATCACTTAAACAGTAAAAGTTCCAAAATATTTCTAGAGAAATTTTAAAAATAGAATTTTCCATTTTTCACTGAGCAAAAATTTTTTTTAACAATGTTTTTAAAATTTTTATAAAATAAAATGGTGCGAGGCATAATTAATAATTTCAAATGTTCATCTTTTTTCGCCTTTCTCCATCTGCCTGTCTGCAGTTTCTCTTTTTCTTGCATCCGGCCCTTTGCTTGTCCATTTATTGCGCTGCTTTTAAAAGAATGTTTTCGAGTCGCTGTATTTGTGCCAATATAAGACAGTGCACGATAACCCTTTCATTGTATAGATGTCCCCCTCTCTGAATATTTGCCGGTTATCATAATTGTTAAAAGAATGATTGAAAAGGTAACCTGTTCTGATGCTGTTCTTCCCTCTCCAGGTTCTATGGAAGGTAGCAGGGCCTGAAGCCTGGCAAGGTCAGGGGTATCTGCTTCAGGAGCCATTCTTTTAAACACCAAGTATAAACTGAAAAAAACCAGATATATATATATATATATATATATATATATATTATGCTTGTCTATCTGTTTGTGTCCAATAAATATATAAAAAGGAATAAACCCATTAGGACCAATGCCAACTCACATGACCCCAGGAAATGATAATGAAAAATTTACCAAAAATGCAACTTTCAGAGTTACAATTAAAATCAAAATTGTTAATAGGAAAGGTGTTAAGAATCGCTATAACAGTCTAGCGATTAATATGAAAGTTATGAGCTCCCAAGGTTCCAAGAGTTTATTAAAAGAGATTAATGACAATTTCACCTTTAATAGTATGGAACAACTTACGCTGGTCCGTAAACAATTTCGTCTGCAAGAGAAGCCATGAGCACGGAAAATAATCCTCCTAGGATTCCAGGAATACCATGCAGGTTGATTACACCACAAGTATCATGGTAGTTGAACCAGTCCAATAGAGCAGGCTACAAGATAAGGTTTCATTAATTTTCCATAATTTTTAAAAAATATCTACCTTATGGACTTTTTAAAGGCTGTTTTTAATCCGTCAGAATTTATTTGTCTTGCATTGTAGGTCAAAGACATTTTTCGAGTTTTAATTAAAGATTTACCTTAAAAAGTTGTCTGTAATCTTTTTCTTAAACCAAAATCCGTCTCTTGAAAGATTTAAAACTTTACCTGGAAAATTTTATATCCAAACGTTGAGACGCATCCTGCCACACAGCCAGCAGCAAATGCCCCGTAAGGTTGTACCATTAAATCTGCGCATGCGCCCATCATAACACCCCCTGATAATGTCGCGTTCTGTATATCTACAGCACAGAACTTTCTCCCCTTGGATAGGATTGCTGAGAGAAGGAAGGTGCAGACTGTTGAAGCTAGGAGGCAGATATAAGTGTTAATATAGGCTCTGGGGAGTTTGATTTAATCCAATGCTGCTGTTATCAGGAAATATTGAATTATTCATGTTCGATCAATTATTTGAATTATTTAAAAATAGAAATGAGTTCTAAAACTATCCCAGTTTTCAGGAAAGGATTAAAATTTTAATGGATAATTTTAGGTTTTGATAGCTTTAAAAATATTCGCAATTTATTTGCAATATCTTTGCACTTTTCTTTAGGATTAGACTCTAGACGAATTCCAAAATACAAGAGGGAAAATTTAAAACAAAAATGACCGGGAATCAAAAACGATATGTTTTAGATTTTAAATATAGAATAAAAATGAAATATAAATTAAGAATTTTTCGATGAAATACTCAAAAATTGACATTTGGATAAAAATCAATTATTACATTAAAAATTGACCTTGAGAAGACAACAATTAAATATTAAAGATTAAATTTCCCTGTGCCGAGCATCTTCATACACCAGCAGAGCATTGAAACTGGGNCCATAGTAAAATGGTATCTCTAGAGTACAACCATAGTAAAATGGCACCTAGAGTACAACCATAGTAAAATGGTACCCACCGTGAGAAAATTATAATGGTATCTCAAGGATTCGGAAATGCCATTCAACAAATAGCGATTCACTTGAATTTACTTTTATACAATCTCTTTAAGTATGAATTAAATATGATTTTTTTTGTATTATAGGACACCTAATAAGGAGAACATGTCTGAAACTGATGTACTGGTTTGCAAGCTTGAAGATAAGTTATAATCTCTTCCTCTCATTACAAACCCTGAAATGATAAAAAAATTAAAAATGAATTCTTTATAATTTTAATTATTTTTACCTATTGCTATCCCGAACACAGCTCCAAAGGCATGGATAAAAATGGACCCCCCTAAAAATAATCATACCAGTGAAAGAAAAATGAACTAGGTATGGCAGGTTCAATCTAGTGAGGTCTTGACCACACAAAAAAGTATTTAGACTATCCCAGCCTAGTTCAAATACTTTTCGCTATTAATTCTTGTTTTGATAAAACAAATATTAAAATTTAGGAAACCTGCATCAATTGCACCAAGAAGTTCATATCCAATATGACCGTTGATAGAAAATAGAATAGTCTCTATAAAGGCGAGAGCGAGGAGTTGGAAGGGGTTAACTTTCCCTATTAGAACTCCGAATGATATTAGGACAGTTGCAGCAGCCAACCCTCCCTCCAGAACAGTCAGCATATCTATCTTGATATAATACTCTCCTGGAGATAGACGGAGAAATCCGATACACAGGATAGCAAGCTCGGTCATCAGTGCTGTGATAATCATTGTGAAACTAGAAACAGGGTTTAGATAATCTCAGGGTTTAGATAATCTCAGGGTTTAGATACTCTCAGGGTTCAGATAATCTCAGGGTTTAGATAATCTCAGGGTTTAGATAATATCAGGGTTTAGATAATCTCAGGGATTAGATAATATCAGGGTTTAGATAATCTCAGGGCTTAGATAATCTCAGGGTTTAGATAATATCAAGGGTTAGATAATATCAGGGTTTAGATAATATCAGGGTTTAGATAATATCAGGGTTTAGATAATCTCAGGGTTTAGATAATCTCAGGGTTTAGATAATCTCTGGGTTTAGATAATCTCAGGTTTTAGATAATATCAGGGGTTAGATAATATCAGGGTTTAGATAATCTCAGGGTTTAGATAATATCAGGGTTTAGATTATCTCAGGTTTTAGATAATATCAGGGTTTAGATAATCTCAAAGTTTAGATAATCTCAGGGTTTAGATAATCTAAGGGTGTAGATAATCTCAGGCTTTAAATAATCTCAGGGTTTAGATAATATCAGGGTTTAGATAATATCAGGGTTTAAATAATATCAGGGCTTAGATAATATCAGGGTTTAGATAATCTCAGGGTATTGATAATATCAGGGTTTAGATAATCTCAGGGTTTAGATAATCTCAGGGTTTATATAACCTCAGGGTTCAGATAATCTCAGGGTATTGATAATCTCAGGGTTTAGATAATCTCAGGGTTTAGATAATATCAGGGTTTAGATAATCTCAGGGTTTAGATAATCTCTGGGCTTCAGCTAGTAATCTGAAACCTCAGATTTAGATAAATACCAGAATATAAAAATGTCAGTTTTGAAATTATATAAATCTAAGGGTTTCAATAACCTGAGATTTGATAAAAAACGAATAAATGGATAGGATGTAAACCCTCCTGAGTGCTGATATTCCGTAATATCTGAGAAACGTCATGAGAAACCCGAACCCACCAAACAGCATGACATGGATATCAATTATCACTAGAAATAATATTAAGTTTAAAAGATATCAGGTTTATTATAATATCGATAATAGGGTGTATTCTTACAATATTGTACAGTGATCAGCGTTTATATAAATAATATATTAATTGAGATCTGGTAATCTGTTTATTCTTATTGTGGCAGTATGATCGACCATAATATTTGTTTAAAAACCTTACATGGATAATGGTCTGAAAATCATATATGGATAATGGTTAAAAAACTAACATGGATATTAGTCTAAAAAGCTTAGATGAATATTGGTTTAGAAAGCTTACATGGATATTGGTTTAATATTTCTGTAACTTCATGGTTTGAATTCTTGATCCTGTTCTCAGTATGGGCGGAGTCAGCACTTGAAGCATACCTAAACATGGACCAAAGGTATTGGTTGAAGCTTTTATTCAAATACAGTTTTTATTAAAGGGTGGCTTTTTAATGGTGTAAAGAAACTGATCACATGACAAAGAAACTGATTACATTACAAAGAAACTGATCACATGAAAAAGAAACTGATCACATTACAAAGAAACTGATCACATTACAAAGAAACTGATCACATAACAAAGAAACTGATCAAATGATAAAGAAACTGATCACATGATAAAAAAAACTGATCACATGACAAAGAAACTGATCACATGACAAAGAAACTGATCACATGACAAAAAAACTGATCACATGACAAAGAAACTAATCACATGACAAAGAAACTGATAACATGACAAAGAAACTGATCACATCATAAAGAAACTGATCACATGACAAAGAAACTGATCACATGACAAAGAAACTGATCACATGACAAAGAAACTGATCACATGACAAAGAAACTGATCACATGACAAAGATTCTGATCACATGACAAAGAAACTGATCACATTACAAAGAAACTGATCACATGACAAAGAAACTGATCACATGACAAAGAAACTGATCACACTGATCTTTATAGAGATTTCACAATAAGATTTAGGCAACGCGGTTTCAAACAAACATGCACCCAAAGCTGTAGAAAGAAAAAAACCTTTTCCAAGTTTAAAGATGCTTTTAATGTCGTCTTGAAAATAATGTTCCTTTGCATTTGGTTTCACAGAAAAGGAGTAAAAATGTGACATCATTTAGATTTTGCAAACCAATATTAATATGTTAGATTTTCTATTATTATGGGCTATGGCATGGGTTTTAAATACAGGGTGTCCCAATATACATTGAAATTAAATGACGACTTCTATATCGTCTTTGTTTTAAGTGGGATTATCTCGTTAATAAGCTTTTTTAGTATCACAGCTGAATATTTAACACCAAAAACTACTGGTCTCGGGATTTCCAAAATGTTGTCTACCATTTGTTGACCTTCAATATTGACAGAGATAGTAGGAAATTGATCCAGATTTCAGTTAATTAAAAATCAACAAAGCTGTTTAAGTGTTTAGTATCTCTGTCAAGTTGAAAAGCTCAATAGACTTTCAATCATATTTTGCTGCACTTTGTCATTTATCAATGATCGGAAATCAAAGACGATATTCAAGTCGTTATCCAATTCCCATGTGTATTCGGACACCCTGTACAGGGTTACTGTTTCGCTACTTAGCGATTTTTCCTAAAGACCTAATGAAATCTTTATAAGTACCGTGCGGTATTTCTCGAGATAGGATTGTAAGCCTTCCTCTTCTGATTACTCTCCATAATAAAGGATAATAATATGGTTCCGAACGTTTATTTCTCCGAGACTTCAATCTAAACAAGTTTTTTATAAACCCACAGAAAAAGCATTGAGTGATAAAATCATACAAAATACAGCAATAAATCAATTCAGGCATTAAAAAACTGTGGAATGGAACCAATACATTACATTCATAAGATATCAAACCACAACCGAACATAAATAAACGATATTCATATATATATAAAGCATAGTTACTGCAGTGATCCTAGAAATTTAACACGGTTTTAATAATAGACGAATCTTGCATGAAAAACAAATATATACTAAGGTAGAATCTGCCCCCTTCCACACACGAAACTTGCGCATGCGTAGTCGGTCTGTAAACAGCTTCTAAAACTAGTTTTTTACAATACGTTCTGTACAGATCCGTAGGGAGAACTCA